GGCTTATGTGTCCCAAGTACCTGTGCCAGCATCAGGGTGGAAAATTGACTGAAGAGGCAAAGATGTCAGAGTTGGGAGAGGCTATTTAAGTTATGGCATCTCCTATACCATCCTCAATTGTGCTTATGAGGAAAGTGAAGCAGGCAGAAGGGAGGAACTTGGACAAGGTTTAGGACCCACCTTGCTTGCAGGCCCCTTTCCTACCAACCCAGGCCTCAGAAGGAAGTAGAATGCTAAGTGTGAAGCAGCACAACTGCATCAGACATCTACAAGTGACCACTTGTCCCACAAATCCCGGGAGGAAGGGCTGGTTCCCTGGGGAGAACCCAGTGAGCTTGGTGGCTATGCTGAGCACTCACTAAGGCCAAGCCATGTGGCAGGTGAGTCATGAGGGATGAGGACACCTCATAAGATGTTTAAGTGATGGTGCTTTCTATTTAAAAACTTCAAGACTGGGTGTGGTGGTATACACCTGTAATCCCGGTGACTTAGGAGGCAGGCAGGAGGATTACATATTTAGGGCCAGCCTCAGCAACTTAGTGAGGGTCTAAGCAACTTAGTGAGACCCTGTCTCAAAATAAGAAATAAAAAGGACTAGAGATTTGGTTCAATATCCAGTATAAAAAATTTAAAATAAAACAAAACTTCCATTCAGATATGAGACCTTAAAAACACCATATTCAGGAATGCCAAAGACTGCCAAATCTAACCCAACTTGTGGCCCAGAGGGGAAACCAAGGCACAGAGCAAATCAAATAGAGATTCCTGCAATGTGCCTTAATTCCTGAGCTACCAATAGATAGTCCTATTCCCTTTCACATACTTCCTGGAAATATTGCCTTTTGAGGTTAGGAAAAAAATACAAGCTACACACATAATTCCCTAATGAGGAAATACTAAATAAAAAGAATCAAACTAGGAGGACATAAGGAGACATTCGATTAATGTTTGTTAGATTTTTAGGGTATGGAAGGACTTTCTAAGTCTAGGCACAATTTAAGAACAAATAAAATTCTGATAGACTTTATAGTCAATGAAATTGTATGTAAGGAAAAAAAGGTTAAATGGAAAACACTACTACTAATGTTATTAAAGTTAGGTTAGAAATAAGTAATCTTTAACATGCTCTTAGAAACTCATCACAAAAAATATGAAATTTGGAAAAATAAGGGACTCAGAATAGTCAAAGCAATCTTTAGCAAGAAGAGTGAAGCAGGAGTCATCACAATACCAGATTTTAAACTGTGCTACAGAGCCATAGTAACAAAAATGGCATTGTTTTGGCATCAAAATAGACATGAAGACCAATGGTACAGAATAGAAGACACAGAGACAAACCCACATAAAACCAGTTATGTTAGACAAAAATAGTCAAAAATACACATTGGAGAAAAGAGCCTACTCAACAAATGGTGCAGGTAAAACTGGAAATCCATATTAGCAAAATGAAATTAAACCTCTATCTCTTACCCTGCATAAAAATCAACTCAAAGTGTATCAAAGACTTAGGCACTAGAACAGAGACCCTGTGCCTAATTGAAGAAAGAGTAGGCCCAAATCTTCACCATGTCAACTTAGGACCTGACTTCCTTAACAAGACTTTTAAAGCACAAGAARTAAAATGAAGAATTAATAAATTCAAACTAAAAAGCTTCTTTACAGCAAAGGAAACAAGAGTGTAACATTAAAGCATTACATATGTGTGCTGCTGCTGAATTTTCCAGGTAAACCAAACCCATCCAGAAGATAGTCTTCTCTAGATATTCCATGAAGGGTGTGCAAAGGTCATGGCAGGCACACATAGGGAAGATCTTTAATATTATTTGTTTGAGCCCTTTAAAGAGCGTGAAGAGAGAGCCTACAGAATGGGAGAAAATCTTTGCCACCTGCTCCTCAGATAGAGCATTAATATCCAGGATATACAAAGAACTCAAAAAACTTAACACCAAACCAAACAAACAACAATGGGCAAAGGAACTAAACACTTTTTCAAAAGAAGAACTATGAAAGGTCAACAAGTATATGAAAAAATGTTCAATATCTCTAGCAACTAGATAAATGCAAATTAAAATTACAATGATATTTCATCTAACACTAGTTAGAATAGCAATTATCAAGAATATAAGTAGCAATAAATGTTGGTGAGGATGTGGGGAAAAGGGCACATTCATCCATTGTTGGTGGGACTGAAAATTGGTGCAGCCACTCTGGAAAGCAGTATGGAGACTTGGAGACTAGAGATGCCTCAAAAATCTCAGAGTGGAACCACCATTTCACCCAGTTATCCCATTTCTCAATATATATCCAAATGATTTTAAATCAGCATGCTGCAGGGACACAAACATATCAATGTTTACAGCAGCACAATTCACAAGAGCTAAGCTATGGAGCCAACCTTGGTGACTTTCGACAGATGAACGGATAAAGAAAATGTGGTATATATATCACAATTAGGTTGACCATAAAGAATAACTTTATGACATTTGGTGGTAAATGGGTGGTTCAGGAGACTATCATGCTAAGTGAAAGAAGCCAATCCCCCCAAACCAAAAGTCAAACATTTTCTCTGACATGTGGAAGCTGACCCACAATAAGTTGGGAGGGGACGGAGAATAGAAGTTCAGTGGAGTAGACATGAGGAGTGAATGGAACAGAAGGGAATGTGTAAAGGAAAGACAGTGGAGTGCATCTGACATAACTTTCCTATGTACATATATGAATATACCACAGTGACTCTCACCATCGTGTACATTCACAAGAAATTAATTTTAAAAAAATAATTATGGGTAAATAATAGAAAAATCAATGAGGGAAAGGGAGTAGGGGTAGAGGAGGGAAGGGAAAGGAAAGGTACTAGGGACTGACTGAATTAGAATAAAATATATTCCATGTTTTTATAATTATGTCAAAATCAACTCTATCATTGTATAACTAAAGAAAATACATGCATTAAAATTTAAAAAGGGACAACAAAAAATTGGAGAAACATAGGCCAAGGAATACAGTAAGGGTTTGCTTGAAGAGGAAATTGGCCATAAATAGATGCAAACAGGTTTACCCTCAGTCACCAGCAAGTAAGTACCCATGAGTCCAAGATGCACATACCACTTTTACCATGTGCATATATTTTTGAAATCCGTATTTTTAGCATTTCCTTAGTTCATGGCACATTGTGGGCCCTGTGTGTATGAGGGAACATGACACGAGCATGCTCATACCCTATTGCAGATAGGATACCACCTTTCTGGAGGACCATTTGACATTAAGTAGATTTCCTCACTGCCCCTAAAATATAAGTCATTGCACTTAGCACTGAAAATCTTCCCCTATTCCTAAAAGCCTCCCTGACTCATAACTGCATTCATTTCAGAGGCCTGTCTCATGCTGTTTCCTCCCCACCTTCTCTGTCAGATATCATCCTGTTCTTTTGGCATTTGGCACCATGTTGCTTCTCCAGAGAGACATCCCTCACCTCCCCATCCCCAGGCAAGGACAGCTAACTCTCTGAGGTCTTCAGCTCCAATGTTTCCCTCCTTCAGTCCTGGCAGGGAGCAAGCTTCTTGCCCCCTAGGCTGAGCACATGCCACAAGTATTGGTTGACCCTGCATAGAGATGTCTGATCAGGGATGGCCTTGATCTCTTAGGTCTCTGGCTTTCTGAGGAGTCATTATCTGTTTTCCATAGGCAGGTTGCAAGGCTGTTTCATGAACTTCCTTGCAGGGAGGGAAGTCCCTGGTTTTGGAAGTCCTGTTCGTGGCCCTGAAGGTACTGCTAAGCAGACTTGCTTTCTCTTGCCTACTCCTAATCCTGACCATTGTCTTCTCTGTTTTCAACTCTGGATCCAAGACTTGTCACCTGTTCTTGCCATTTCCTCCAGATTGTCATATACCTAACTGACTTATGTCCCAGACCCTCTGATAATCTGGTGTCTAATAAATAAACTGTTGAAGGGACAGGAAAGGTCAAGACAGAGGCCCACCCCATCCCCGGACTTTCCATGGAGAGTACTTTATTATGCACACTTATATAGTAATTTATATGCATAATTGAAATTGCAACTATACACCCACATAATTTTAATTGTATTTGAAATTTCCTATTAAAATTACTTTCCAACACTGATAATCATTTTGAACCAACCCACTGATTTGAGTTATAATATCTATCCTTTGCTACCCCCTAGTGGAATGTGGCTCAGCATTAGGAGTAAGAGTCTATAAAAGGCAGATGTCTATGGGGACCAGGCAGGGATGGTATAACCTAGTTTCTTTCCCAGCCCCATCGCACCTGCTTGTGTCACCTTGTCTCAGATTTCCATACTGAATGTGAAGATATGTGACTTTGAAAAGGTAACAACTCGTTTTAAAAAAATGTCAAACCTCCGTGACACTGGAGATTATGGTCAACTTATGATAGATCTCTACAGGTAGGGGTGTGTGTGTGTGTGTGTGTGTGTGTGTGTGTGTGTGTTTTAGTTTTTTAGTTGTAGTTGAACACAATATCTATTTATTTTTATGTGGTGCTGGGGATCGAACCCAGGGCCTCGCACGTGCTAGGGGAGCACTCTACCGCTGAGCCACAACCCCGCGGTGTGTGTGTGTGTGTGTGTGTGTGTGTGTGTGTGTGTGTTTTGAGACCCCTCTCTAAGTACAGGGTTAGGAACCGTGATCCTATGCACCTGAACCGGAAAGTCCCAGGAAAGAGAAAACCACCATCAGCCTGTGGCAGCAGGTGGGCGTGTCCTTGACGTAGCTGGAGTTCTTGCAGCGTGCTGGGCTACCTGACTTACAGGAATCAACCTGCTCACCTGTATGTGTCGGCTGAGACAGGAATTTAAGTAGAATGGGCAGCCAATCCGGGATCGATGAATCTCTGGCCAGCCAACGATGAGCCTAGTTGCTGTGACGCCTCGTCCCTGCTCTCTATTTTATTTACCCTGGAGAAGTTCGAACTCCACTCAGCGCATCTTTCCGCCTCTTGATCTCCTTCTCCTGAGGAACATGCCCACGATTGAGCTGGACACCAACTTGCCGTTCAATCGCGTGCCCGTGGGTCTGGAGAAGCGGCTCTGCGCGACCGCTGCCACCATTCTGGGCAAACCTGAGAACGTGAGCGAGGGTTGGAGCAGGTTCGAGGGAAGGTTGGCAGACTAGGGGTCAGGGTCTGTCCACTCTTCGCCTCCTCACAGTGATTACGACTCTTCTCCTCAGGGACCCTTCATTGCCTGCCAACCTCTGACCTACCATGCCCATGAACCCGTGGGTCCCTCTTCTCATTGTCGCTTTTTTCCTTCTTTGTTCCTTACCCCGACAAGAATCCAGGCCCTTGCCTAGAGTACTAACCCCAAACACTCTCCGCATCTCGGCTTTCGAACGCCCAGGTCCCCAGCTCTAGTCCAGTTGCCTCAGATTCAGGTGAAACTTCCGTGTCCCCTGTAGCGTGTGAAYGTGACGGTGCGAGCCGGTCTTACCATGGCGCTGTGTGGATCTACAGAGCCCTGTGCCCAGCTGATTGTCTCCTCCATTGGCGTGGTGGGCACTGCAGAGGAGAACCGCGGCCACAGCGCCAGTTTCTTCGAGTTCCTTACCAAGGAGCTGGCCCTAGGCCAGGACAGGTGTGTTGTGGTAATGAAAGAACCCATTTAGAACTGCTTGCAACCTGAGGCAGTGATAGGGGCCCTGCATAAAGAGGGGGGAAATTACATTCCTTGCCTTGCCCAGGAGTCCTGAGCCTCTTCACCCCTCCTTCCTGTTGGTGGGTCTGTGTTCACCGTGATGGTAAGATGGGATGAATTTCTGGGTATGCAGTGGTTCTTGCTGTTGATCAATCAAATTCAGAAATTGTTAAAAAAAAATGTTATTTGTAATCCTAAGAATTGCAACTGGGAAGACAGCTTTGAACCAGTTTTCTGAGGCAGGCAGGGAAAGTTGAATTTTATATGGGCAAGCTATGTTCCATGTTTACAGAGCAGTAAAAATTCCTTTGTAGGAATCTTCTTTGAGAGAGAACAGGTATGTCTGAATAGTTAGAAGATAAAGAAAGAAAATGCATATTTAGTAAAAAATATCCATAAAATGAATCCAATAATCTCTTTTTTTAAAATTTATTTTTCAGTTGTAGTGGGACACAATACCTTTATTTATTTATTTTTATGTGGTGCTGAGGATCGAACCCAGGGCCTCGATGAGCTATAACCCAGCCCCCCCAATAATCTCTTAATATGCATTTTAAATCTCTGGACACAGTGGAATTTTCCTGTGGTTCAGGGTTCAGATCATTTCAGATATCCACAATCAAAGGGTGGAGGCAACCTAACTTCCAATTTTTGATAATGACTTCAAAAGTACACAAGTCCTGCTTCCTTTAATGAACTACTGAAACCATTTTGGAAAGCTCTTGTTGTTGATTACATTGTGCTTTATTTTCACACTGTGAGACCTCAGAAGGCATGGATGCTAGGACCACAGTGTTTCCATCTGTCCACTTGGAAGTCTTTTAACTACTCCTTAGGAGGCACTGCAACGGTCATTGAGATGGCCTATACCCTGCACCTGCCTTGGCACCAGGCAAAGTAGGAGGACATTATTACCTTGAAGAAGTCAGGGAGTCTGATTCTCTTAGAAAAAAAGTATTTTCTAGGCTGATCAGAAGAAAATCTGGGTATGTCCTAAGACTATGGAACATCAGCCCCACCAGGTCCCAAGTAAAATTGGGGGAGGTGTGATAGAGTAGTGAAAAGAGCACTGATCTAGATGTCTAGACACCCTGTTTTGGGTCCCTCAAAGGTGAGGGATCCAAGACAAAACTGGAAATGAACCATCTCCACTTTCTAGCCTCCTCTTCTGTGAGCAGAAAGGGGAAGGTTAAATGACCTTTCTTCCCCACAAGAAGGCCCTACCACCCAAACCTGGAACACTGTGATAAGGTTAAGATTTCCTGCTGAGTGAAAAATATTCCCAAGCCAAGTCTATGTCTGTGAGGAACTAAGGGCATGAGAAACTTGAAAGGACCTTCCAAAATGAAGCCCTTGTTGACTCAGGGAGGCTGGTGAGGAACAGCTGCTCCTGGTGGGTGTTTAAATTCTCAAACTGGGGAGAGAGAATAACTCTAACAATAAATTATGCATTAATGCCTACCGTGTGCCAGGAACTCAACACATATGATCCTATTTCATCTGTACAAGCCCTGACCCCTTAGTGAAGACCTGCCATCCCATGAGATAGATGACTGCATTTTGCTGACTTGGCAGATGGGGAAACTGAGGCTGTCACCTGCTGCCAACCACCCATCCCCTGTCAACCTGTCTCCATCCCTGATGCTGTTCACCAAGAATTTCCTGTCATCTCTGTGAAAGGGGCACATTCAGTTATTCCACAGACTTTATGGTCACCCTGTGCCTGACCCTGAGTCAGACTTTGAGAAAAGAGAAGTGCCTGATGCCTTGAGCATACCCCATGCAGCCTGCATTTAGGAGGGAAGACTGTCCCTCTGAGCCCACAGACTGGCAGACTCAAATGAGCACATAGCATACCCACTAAGGCCATGGTATTGTGTCTCTCTTGGGTGGGCCATGCTGATGTGCAGCCATCGTCTTGTACTTGATAGTCCCATTATCCTGTTTGAGACCAGGAGAAGATCATTAACTTGGATGAGCAGGCTGGTAAATACTTCATGGACTGATGAGGGAGCACCTGGTAGGTGTCTTGCAAAGTGAATTTTTTTTTTTTTTTGCCAAGAAGCTGACATCCTTTTCTCTGTTTCCCAAAGGATAATTATCCGCTTTTACCCCTTGGAGCCCTGGCAAATTGGCAAGGATGGGACAGTTGTGACATTTTTATGATTGGTACTAAGGATCTAGAGCACCTGCAAGCTTGCTGTCCCTTCCATGGAATCATCCTGGCAGCCAAGGCCTAGTGGATACCAGCTTTGGAAACCCTTCATACAAAAATGCTGCTGACCTCACAATCCTTCTCTTCTCCATGTCATGCCAAATAAATGAAGAGGTCATTCAAACATGAGTTCTTTACCTCCCTACTTCCCTCCCTGGCAACCCTTGGCTTCCCTAGGCAGGTGATTTGTTTTATAAGGAGGGGTACTTAGGGAACATGGAGGTAGGATGTTTCCTGTCGTCAGGGCTGCTGTTTAAAATATTTACAGTGCTGAAATCTGTGGGTGGGTGTCTCAGCCTCCAGGTTCTCTTCTCTATACCCATGTGCAAATAAGTGGAGACATGGATGCAGCTAATTTGTCCTGAAACTTCCAGTATACTCTGCCGATATCCTGAGGTTCTTGTTCTCTGCTTGGGGTAGCCTGGGCTGTTCCCTGTCCACCAAAGCCCTGTTCAGTTGGGGGACAGGGCTGGCTGGACTTCTGAAAGCTTCTCTAGTCATTCTAAAAAGGTGACACTCTCTATTAAGGTCTGGCTAAGAATTAGCTGAAGGAATGCACTTTGTGAATCATGTCCCAACATGCCAACTGGAAATTCAATATCTGCCACTGGAAACTGAATGAATGTCCCTTTCCCCCATCAACATACCATGTTATGCCTTTGCATTTCAGAGTGTGTACAGGCAAGTAGAGAAACCCAAAGGAAGTCTCCATCTAAGTAGCTTTCCAGATGTTCCATGCACTGGTGGATGCTATTTCCCTGAACAGTTAAATGTTTGGTGATCCTTTTGTGAAATATCAAATTGAAACTTATTCTGTGCAGTCTACATGTTAGTAAGGGGGGAATATGACTGCCCTTGCTGTATTTGTACCTAAACACTGCTGAAGCCTCTCATTTAAAACTACATCTTGCAGTTCCTTCCCCTGGCTTGTCCCAGTTGTTTCTGCATACCTTTCTTCTGCCAAGGTGTTTCATGGGTGTACCTTTTCCCAGAGTGGCTCAAGGATTTTTTTGTGGGCTGAATGTGAATGAATAGTTGCAGTGCCTGAAGATGGAATTGGGGTCTAACTCTCAGCAGGATCATAACATGGCCATATCAGTCTCCAATATTAAACATTAACACCACTATGTAAGAGTGATATCATCTGCTGGCTTTTGTGGACTGGTCCTGCCCCACATTGGCCCTGACCTTTGCCTCCTGGTAACACTGTGCTGCCCTGTAGTGTTTTTTTATCTTTGGACCCTGGTCATGCAGCTCCCTGCTGCTGTAACTGCCCTTCCCACCCTTTATCTAAGGGTGGGAATGCATCTTTCAAAATACAACTTTCGGTTGAGAGGTGGATCAAAGATGCATATTACCCATACAACTTTGAAACCACCCGTTTCAGCTCTGCCCACTCACCTCACACCTCCACCCGCTGCATGGCAGGCTACACTTAAAGTCAAAGATTGATGACTCAATAATTTTCGTTCCTCCCAGAATATCAGTCGAGCTTTTTTATATTGAACTGACTCTGAGTTATTCAGCACGGTTTTATTGTCCTTGGTTTTAAAAGTTATATATTATTTTTTGTCTTTAAATAAGGTCAAAAAGAAGCCCACAACATTCATTCTTATTTAAATCATCCTTGCCAGACCCTATGAATTTGACCACAGTGTGAAGCACTTCCCTAAAACGCTTTATTATTAATATCCAAGAGTGTAACGTCTCCTAATCTGAGGCCCCTGTTAGAAACTCTTCAACTCTGGACCGTTTTATCAGCTCCAATTCGGACACTGTCCTTTCCTGTTGGCTCCCACCCCCAACCCCGTTCATTTCACGGGTCTTTTATTCCCTCCCCAACTCCGCCCCATGTTTCAATAATTTGTGCCTTTGGAGCGTCTTTTTTTTTTTTTTTTTAATTTTCGGAAAAAATGGGAATGCTTTGCCACCCTTATTTCGGTCTAAGTGTTCCCTAAGTTTCCACTGCCTTAAGAGCGCCTATCCCGGCTCAAAACAAGAATACGCAGTCCCTTATTTAGCCACTGCTCAGTACTACAAGTGAATACTAAAATACTATTAAAAATAGAGTTATAATATTTACAACACATAATCACACACTCTTACAAGTGCTACAAGTACTACGATTACTACAAGTGAAGGAGTCCGACCGCGAGCTGGCGCTCTGACCTCCTGAAGTTCAAGGACTAAGAGATACGCTCCAAAACCAACCAGCTCCTCTCTCGGGTCTTAGACGCTGAACCCGCGGATTGGAGCGGCGCCTTCTACTGGGCCTCAGTGAGCTGGGCCGGCGAGCGGCGCGTGCGCCAACGTTGATTGGTTGGCAGGGCCGGCAACCGAGCCAATGGGAGTTCGTCTTGTTGTCAGGCGCGCTGCCGGCCGGCACGGGGGTCGGCGGAGGAGCTGTTGCCTGGAGACATCTGGTGAGTTTCTGGGCAGCAGGTTGGGGGGGCGGTCCCGGTGTAGAGGTGCCGCTCTCGTGAGCCAGAGGCCTGGCCACAGAGGCTGCTGGCGCGAGGTGGAGTCACTTGAAGACTCTTTTCTTCCATTCCCAGAGCCACAGTTGGGGAAACCGAGGCCGGGAAGCTGAAAGAAAGAGACAGGGTTCACTGTCTGCCCCGCGGGCCTCCTCACAGCCCTCGCCAGTTCTCTGAGGTGATGGCTTCTGGCGTCGGGAGTCACAGTGACAACAGTAGGAGCCACCATTGATTCTGCGTCTGCTGGGTGCAAAGCCTGGAGCTAACCCTTTCCTCTCGTCCTTTCACTCACCTTCACAATAGCTCTGCGAGGTGAGTGCTCTTGTTAGTGCTATTTACAAGGGTGGACATTGAGGCCGAGGGAAGGTGAAATGATGTGCTTAAAGTCACCTAATTGGTCAGCATGTCTCCAACTGAGAATTTTGACCATCCCGCTGCACTGCCCCTCGGAGGAGTCGGATCCGGATTAGACAGACCTCACCCAACAGTCCCAGATGTCTGCACTGTTGACTTCTGGGGCCACCATCATTCTTCAGTACCTGGGTTATTACAGTTCTTAAGTGGGATATTCGGATTTCGTGCGGCTAAGATTCCTTCTGTGTGATTCATTACTGTGATTAGAAGTGGAATGGCCTTAGAACTGTCTTATCCAGAGGTTAGCAAACATTTTATAAATAAGATTGTATTATTATATGTTGTAAATATCATAACTCTACTTTTAATAGTATTTTAGGCTTTGGGGGCCATACTGCAACTCTGTTGTAGTTTGGATACAGTCAAAGACAATACATAAGAGTGGCTGTGTTTTACAGAAATTTTATTTATGAATACTGGATTTGAATTTTGTAGACTTTTTATGTAATTTTCTTGTGCAAAGAAAGCAGCTGACTGAATAGCTTGCAGAATCCTTATCTAATCCACAGTAGAGGAGACAAAGTAGAGGAAACACAGTAGAGGAGACTTAGGGGCATCTATGCCAAGCCAGTCACACAGGTAGGTCTTGCCACAACTGAGCTTAAGACTTCAGCTTCTAGACATCTGGGCCAGAACAGACCAGGAAATGCTACTGCTTATGGCTCTGGATCAGGATGCTGAGTTGCTCAAAGTGCTGTTTGTTATTAAGTGTTATTAGGCCATGGAATCTATTCCCTAAAATATACTCATGGAAACTATAAAGAGTTTGAATACTTGTGAGCTTAAAATGCTGTTCTGGGAAAAATGCAACTGCTGGGCTGAGAATCTGAGAAATTACTACAGGTTGAACACCACTAATCTTAAAAATCTGAAATACTCCAAAATCTGAAACCCAGTGCAGTCATGACTCCACAAGTGGAAAATTCCACACCATAGAACTTTGTTTCATGTATCTAATTATTAAACATATTGTATAAAATTATCTTCAGGCTATGTGTATGAGATGTATATGAAAAAAATGAATTTTGTGTTTAGACTTACATCTTTAGATATCTTGTTTAGATATACAAGATATCTCATGTATATGCAAATATTCCAAAATCAAAGGAAATCTGAAATCCAAAACAGTTCTGGTAACTTGTATTTTCTTCCTCATCTTCTATTATAGCTGGGTTTTGTTTATTTGGTTTTGGTCCTAGATATTGAGTCAGGGGTGCTTTACCACTGACCTACACCCTCAGCCCTTTTTATTTTTTATTCTGAGAAGGTCTCACTAAATGTCCAAGGCTGGCCTCAAACTTGCAAACTTGCAATCCTCTTGGTCTCCTGAGTACTGGGATTACAGGTATGCACTACTGCAACTGGATTTTTTTTTTTTTTTAAAGCTCCTTTGGGGGTTCATGGCGAATAAAAATACATCATCATCCTCAGGATGATAAATGTGTAATATCAAATGGTTATTTCTTTTAAGTTTTTGTATTTTAAATGAATTTTAAATTTAGAGCAATAATCAGAACACCCTTATGTCTCGCATCCCGATTTCCCCTGATGCTTATGTTTTTTTTAAATTTTTTTTTGTTGTTAATGAACTTATATTTTATTCATTTATTTATATGTGGTGCTGAGAATTGAACCCAGTGCCTCATATAAAGCCCTCTACCACTGAACCACAACCTCAGTTCCTGATGTTTATGTTTATAGTACAATTATCAAGAACAAGAAACCAACTTTGATATAATGTTAACTAGACTACAGATACGATTCAAGTTTCACCAGTTTTTCTGCCAGGCTTTGTTTTCATTCAAGATTCTGACCAAGATCCTGTGTTGCATTTAGTTATTTCTCCTAAGTATCCTATAGTCCATAACATTTCCTCTGTCCTTTCTTGGCCTTGATACATTTGTTTGTTTTTTGCTGGGACTGAACCCAGGACCTCATGTCATGTTAGGCAAGCACTCTACCACTGAGCCACATCCTTGGTCCCTTGGCCTTGATATTTTTAAAGAATACTGATCAGATATTTACTTTGAGGCGTGCTGGGGATTGAACTGATTCAGTTATTTTGTCTAATGTCCCTCAATTTAGGTTTGTTCTGTGTTTTTCAGAATTGAAGTCAGGATATGCATTTTTGGCTAAAATATCAGAAACATTTGTTTTTGTGTCTTATGTGAATCTCAATAAAGGAGTCCAAGATATTGATATATCTTATTATATGTGATATTTACCTTGATCACTTGGTTTAGTTGGTGTCTGCCATGTTTCTATGCTAAAGTTATTACCTTTTCTAGTTAATAATTCTCTTGAGAGAGATAATTTGAGAAGATACAAATTTTGATTTTCCTCAAATTCGTGCCCACTGACTTTAGCATTCATTTGTGAATCTTTTGGTGTTTGTCTAAATGTGATTAATTAGCTATTCTTTTTTTCCTGCTACATTTATGAATTGAAAAATCTATAATGAAAGAGCTATCTATTCTCTTTTAAAAATTTATTTGATTACTTACTTTTATCATAATGTACCATAGATATTAATTTTATTCTCTGAGTTATGATCCATTATTATTATTTTATTGCTTACTGCTTCTGCCTTGGCTATTTAAGATCTGAAGGAGATCTTAAAACTTCTATCTCCTATCAATGGGCCTTCATTATTTTTTTTTTTTTTTTGGGGGGGGGTACTGGGTATTGAACCCAGGGGCACTCAACTACTGAGCCACATCCCGGGCCCTATTTTGTATTTTATTAAGAGTCAGAATCTCACTGAGTGGCTTTGAACTCTACTTTTTTAATATTTATCTTTTAATTGTAGTTGGACACAATATCTTTATTTTATTTATTTTTATGTGGTCCTGAGGATCGAACCCAGGGCCTCGAACATGCTAGGAGAATGCTCTACTGCTGAGCCACAGACCCAGTCCCCGGCTGGGACTCTTGATCCTCCTGCCTCAGCCTCCCAAGCCACTGGGATTACAGGTGTGCACCACCACTCCTAGTTTGTTGTTGTTTTTTTGAGCTCTCATTTTATAAAGTCACCAAAAGGTGTTCTAGCCTCATTTTGTTTTGTTTTGTTCCTCAGCCATAACCATGAAATCTTTTTGTCTTTAGTCTAACAGTATCCAGTCAAGATACTGTTTTCCAGTTACTTAGATTAGTTATTTTCTTTCTTACTCTCTTCTGTTTTGTTAAGTTAATTAGAGTACAGTTAGGTTCATTGTTAATGTTTATATTCCTTATTAGGTTTCCCCTACATCATAGTTGATTTTAATTACTTATTTTTGGGGTCTGAACCATGAATGGTTCTGAAAGTTTGAGCTATGCACAAAAGTGTCTTTCTCCTCATCTTACCACACTGTGCTCACTGTCCTCTTTTTCTTCTTCTCTTTTTTCCAACCTCTTTTCTACCTACCTATATAGCACACTTTAGTATATAAATTATTCTTGAGTTTCAATTTGCACATATAGTTGTGTATTTTCTTATATCTTCTTTCTTCTATGAAGGGCAGCATGCTATACAATTTTGGTTTTTTCCCACTTAACAGTGTGTTTTGAAAATCATCCTATATTTATTCATGGAAGCCTTCCTCAGTGCTATGTTTTCTTTTTCTTTTTGGCAGTGCTGAGGATTGATCTTGGAGCTTCATGCATGCTAGGCATGTGCTGTATGACTGAACTCCAGCTCTTCCTTAGTAATTTTTAAAAACAGCTTTATTGCCCCCACTTGCTGTCAACCACCATTCTACTTTGTTTCTATGATTTTGACTGTACTCTGACTACTTCATACAGGTGGAATTATATAGTTTTTGTCTTTCTGGAATGTCTCCAAAGTTCCCCCATGTTATAACGTATGTCAGAATTACTTTCATTTTTTGGGATGAATAATATTTCATTTTGTGTATATACCACATTTCTTTTAGCTGTTAGTCTGCTGATAGACACTGGTTCTTTTGGCTATTGCAAATAATACTATGTCCCTCAATTTTTTTAATATTTATTTTTTATTTATAGGTGGATACAATCTTTATTTTATTATTATTGTTTTTAATGTGGTGCTGAGGATCGAACCCAGTGCCTCATGCATGCTAGGCAAGTGCTCTGCCTCTGAGTCACAACCCCAGCTTATGTCCCTCAATTTTTAAGAACCATTTATAATGTTATGGATATTAGTCCCTTGTCTACAGTAAATGTAATAAGTATTTTCTCCCAGTTTATCAATTGTCTTTTTCCTGATTTTTGTTACATACAAATTTAAAAATTGTTTATGTAGCTAAACTTTCTTTTTGGTACTGGGGATTGAACCCAGTGACACTTTCACACTGAGCTACATCCCCTGCCCTTTTTATTTTGAGACAGGGTCTCACTAAGTTGCTTAGGGCCTCGCTGAGTAGCTGAGGCTGGCCTCAAACTTGCCATCCTCCTGTTTCCTCTTCTAGAGTCACTGGGATTATAGGTGTGTGTCACAGCACCTGGTTTATACAATCTAATTGATTAATATTTTACTATCTTTGAATTTCAAATCATACTGAGAAAGGCTTTTCGTATACTAATATTAAAGAGAAGTTTGCCCATGTATCCTTTGGTGTTAGTATGGTTTCAATCCCCCCGCACCATTAGATCCCTAATTCATTTGTAACTTATTCTTACGTACAGTAGAAAGACTCATATATGGGTCTTGCTTTTTTTTTTTTTTTTTTTTTAATAACCTGCTTTCTCAGAAACTAACCAGTGTCTTACAAGAATTACATTAACCTCTTCTGAGGATATACCTACCACAAGGTTCTACCGTCTCTCAGTGTTGCTGTACTGAGAACCTTTTGGAGACACACTTGAACCAAATCCAAGTCATAACAAATGAGTGCTTGAGTCTTAATTCTTAACCTAGTCTCTGTCTATGCATGCAG